AAGGTATAGCCCACAGAGACTCTATGAAAGGCAAAGGGATGATTGGAGACGACATTGGTGTTGTTATGAAGAAGGAAACCAACACGACGCCATAGTGTGATCTGATGTTAAAGTCTCAGGCAGCAGAGGACAAAGCTATCAGCCATTATCTCTGTGCAGGCTGACAATGTGGATCCACTGCTGTTGCTTTTTACTTTTGCCTTTGACAACAGTGTCCTCTGAGTTCTTTGTAATGTCATTGCTCTTTTTTTTTTTTAATCCCTATGAAGTTAAGCCTGATGTGGGTCCTTGCATCCAGGAACAATGTCAGAAAAAGGGGAAAGTGGGCATCCTGGCCCTTTTCTGGCTCAGAAAACCTGAGATGGCACACACTGGGGTTTGCAGTGTCATGGCCGTGTCATCACCTCTTTTCGGCGTACTGATTAGAAAATATGGAGGAATTGTGCAGGAATTCCCCTCTCCCACTGTCCATGAGCTGTCTCTCAGCCTGCTGTAATGGGACTGAACTACACTCACACAAGCATCATTTCAACCACGCTCAAAGCAGATGGGCTGCTCTCTTTCTGCCTGAATGCTACTTTGTTCTAAAAAAGAAGAGAAACTCGATCAATTTTCCAGATACCTGAAAACTGGTCAGTACGTCTACAAGTGAAATACGTAACATGACTCCTGAATATCACTCACTTTGGGTATTTTTCATGCAAGCACAACACAATAAATACAGATTTTGAGAGCGTTTTTTACATTTCAAATGCCTGGGTGTGTGTGCGAGAGAGAGAGAAAGAAAGAGAGAGAGAGAGAGAGCGAGAGAGAAAGATAGAATGAGTAGAGAGGTGCTTTTGTGATTTTGTGGTTATGTATTTATTTATTTCTAAGCCAAAACAGAATGGTTATTGCATCTCAATTATAAAATTGTAAAAGATTGTGATGTCTTTAATTTGTGTTAAAGTTATTGGTGTAAAGGGAGAAATCCTTTATGTATTTTAATCATTTCTAGAAATTGTAAGTGATTGTTTGATACTGAGTAAAAAGGTGTGCAGACATTTCCAACTGAATCATGCACAGCATTATGTTTCACATCTATAGACATATTTTGTGTGTGTGTGTGTGTGTGTGTGTGAAAGATGCATGTGGGAGGCTTTGACAATAATTTCTAAAAGTTTTTTACAGATCACATAAGCAGGTATAGCTAAAGGAAAGAAAGAAATACATTTATATGACAGTCTCCTAAAGCTTAATGACAGCAACAATAGCATGAGTCTATGAAGAGCAAAGTCATTAGCATGAAGAGAGGTGCATCATGGGAGGTGTGAGAGCTATCTGGTGTGGGAGGAGGACTGATAGTGCAGATGGACCGGTCTATCAGATGAACACGTCCTGGTCCTGCTTGGCTGTGGTGCTGGGTCCGTTCCTGGGTCTGAGGTTGGTCCACAACATTTAGCATATCCCCTACATTCATTATAATAATTGCGGTAAAAAGATTGGGAACAGTGATAACTGATTAGTATTGCAGTCATCAAGCTCTAAATCTCTGTTCTCCTCACTAGCTTACCAGGGCTTGAGGCGTGGTTAAGGCCATGTCAGGGAGCTCCTGAGTTGCTGCATCATCGTATTTGTCGCTGAGACAAACAAATATCGTTTCTTTAATGCTTTTACAGAGGCTGTGCCCTCCTCCAGCCCGTGGTTCCAGGAATGGGAACATTTAAGTGGGAATGCATTCATTATTGTAATCAGGATCCTTCTGCAGGTCTCTGTAGGAATAAATATCCTCCAGTCATACCCTTACTGACAGGAACGTATAAATATCCCAAGACTACATGTAATGGTTTCATGTTTTTGTCCAGTTAAAGTTTAACTTGATTTCCAGCTTTCACTCATCTTGTGTGTATTGATTTATAAACCTGGGCTGTCTGGGAGCAGACACAGTCATTCTGGAGTTTTTTAGGAGGTTGCAGCAGGAGGGAAGCAGGACAGAGAAGAGTGTAAGACAACAAGCCCACGTCCTGGTCTACTGTTGGGTGACTGACACATTTGGCCATATTTGTAGATACCAAGAGCCTCCTGGTCCACAACAGAATGGACGCTGTCTCTCCCACTCAGACCAGTTTTTCCTCCATTATGACTATCATTTTTGTACCCTACATTGTTTACAGGACGCCAGCGGTTGAAGAACGACCGTCGCTGGTCAGATTTGGCAGGGATAAAGAAAACTGTGGAGTCCAACGTTGTTTTGCAAATAGAAGATTTGGGGGGATTTGGGGAGATCAGTTCAAATGAAGTTTGAAAGTTGTTTTAAGCATGTAATTATACAGTTAATAACTAATTTCTCCGTGATCCCTTTGGGTATTTTCGGAGACGTCTGTGTGTCTACTGTAGCACCAGTGCGATGTTTCACACATTTTGAAACATGTACTCATTCAAAATTGGTGGGGGCTGCATAATGGGTGTAAACTTTTGATTGGACTACATGAATGCTAAATGGTTTACACTTATGCTGGGCTTTTCTGGTCTAGAGACAGATGAAAATGCTTTAGATGACTAATCACATCCACACACTCTAATGCAACATGTCGGTCTACATGGTTTTAGGAGACACAAAGCCTTTGTTTTTTTCTCTGCAGGCATTGGAAGGCAGCTCGACCGCCCATCCTCCTGATCTACAGCCACATATTTTATTAATGAAAGCAAAAAGAAATTGGATTTAGGTGCAGTTCTATACTGGGGCACAGGAGCAGAAACAGCAGGTTCTCCATGCAGAGACTGTGTGCACCAGTGTTTCTGCTCTCCACTGAACTAAAGGCGTGTCTGTATTCATGGTCTGAAGCATGAGGGCAGTGGAAATGTGGAAACGTATTTGTTTGTTTCATGGAGGGGAATATTGGTCTGAAACAGTGTTAAATTTTAAAGTAATTTAGATCAAGCAGAGGGAAAGTGTTTCCTGTATTTCAGGTCTTCCATCAGTGTGTACACGGTACAAAGCTGACTTTACATCTTTGAAAATGAATGATTCCTAATTCATTTTTTAGTTCATATCCATCATCAGGCTAGTTCTGTTTCTTTTTTTTTCTGTTATTCAGTTTTGTTTTGTTGTTTTCTGGCTTTGTTAAATGTTGTGTCACTATTTCAAATGAATCCATTTTGTTTATTACCCTTAAACCTTGACTCAGCATCAGTGTTTGTCCTGAGGTCCCCACTCCACCCCCCCCCCTCCACCCATAGGCTCTCTGATTCAAGTTGGACTCAGTGTGTGTCACCTCATTAATTCATCAGTCAAGCCCCTCCTGCCTCTGGCACTGCCCAGGTGTTGAGGGGGTCCGGTTTGGTGGTCTCTGGCTTGGATCTCTGCTCTTTGCAGTTGTTACAGACCTGGTGGCTTCACTGGGCCGGGATCGATTCCCAGTTCAGTGAGAAGTAGTTGGACTCGGAATCAGAAGGTCCACATTTTTTCATGGTGGTGTGCCCTATTTGAAATGAGCTTCTGGTCAGGAAGCATCCTGGACTCCTCCCTGGTGAGGTGTTCCAGGTGTGTCCCCCTGGGACGAGACCCCCGGGGAAGGTCCAGGAGACGCTGTTCTCGAGCTGGGAGGCCTGGGCTTCCCTCCTTCAGCTGCCCCCCCGAACCTGCTCTGGATAAGTAGAAGACGGATGGACGGATGGATGAATGGATGCATCTTTTAGGTAAATAAAGGTTATCCAAGTTTGCACTGTTTTGAGGAAATTGTGCTGTTTATTTTTGTGTTTTGGGGAGAATAAACACCTGGTTGGTCTCTGCCCCGAGCCTCCCTGGAAACAGGCCGCCATGCTCCCCCCTGACACGAGCACTAAAACAAACAGGGATCAGCAAATTAGGGGCTTCACCTTCCAGCTCCCTCTGCACTACAACAGAAACTGACTGGCAAAGTATCTTCGCAACTAACGACGAGGCCCAAATCTGTCCACCCATTCCTCACTCTGACTTTCAATCATTCATGAAGAATATCTTAGGACACTTGAACCCCTCTGCCAGAGTCCCTGAGGGGGCCCTCCACCCTTGAGCTGAACCATGGCTCTGAATTTAAGACCTCACGGGGCACTGCCTGTAATGATTGCGGTTTCTTGTTGTGTGTGTTTTATGCTAAGTTCTAGGTGGGGTCTAAACAGGCCTCCAGGATTACAGAGCCTAAGTCACCTCAAGTGATTCTCTACATATTCTTGTAGCCGCGTAGACGGTTAGCACCAGCATATAAGGCCGTCTGGTCCTCCTGATGCCAGACCTGCCACACTGCCAGCCAGTCGGATGCTTGGCTTTCAGACCTATAATTTCTCCCTGTGGATCAGCGACCTGAATCACGGATTCTCTGGCTGAACACAGAGCTTTTGTGAATAGTTAATGGGCTGAATAAGGAAAGTCTTGGTTGTCCATTATGAGGCTGCAGCAGTTGAAGGGATACCTGTTTGCTCAGTGTGCCCCCCCTGTTGACCTCCTAAATGGCAGCATGGCTGTTTTATTTTGGCCACTGATGGATGTGTGTTAAAAATTGAATGGAAAATATTAATGATATGAAAGAACGAAACTAACCAGCCGGCTAAGTGATGATTTGAACTGAATAGTTTGCATTCAAATACATCTTCAGTTCATCTCACACTAGATTTTTTTCTGTTATTAAAGACTGCTGTCTAGTTTTAGGGTTAGGGTTAGGGTTAGGGATACCATCCAACACAAAAGACCAAATGCTTAATAGATAAAAGTGAAGTTTGTCCTGTGCAGATCCACGGTTTCAGCCCCATCCAACAGCTTTGGGATAAACCGGAACACTATATATTAGCCAGATTTAATAAGGCTGTCATGGCAGAATAGAACCAATTTACCAAAAAATGCCTACAGCACCTGCAATTGTACAGCCACACAAATGCTGACGGAACCCCAGAATGTGATGAGGAATAAGAATTAAAAGCTGTAAATGAACTTACTGCAGAGAAGTGGCAGCAAAACACTAAGAAGCACTAACAGACAAAGTCCATAGGAAAAAACATTTTATTGAAAAACATTTTCAGTTTGTAACAGACTGGTGGAATGTGTGTCATTTAACTTAATTTAAATGTCTGAATTTTGAAACCTTTTTTGACACCCTGGCCATTTCATACTGCGAGGAATGGGAAAAAAGGGCTACAGCTGGCCGGTAAAGATGACTAAAGAAAACCAGGGGATGACAAACAGTGTAAATATAATACTGTTACTTACAAACTGGACTGAAAGAAATCATTGACAGACCATAAAAGAAAAAAAAACTAGTCAAATAAATATTCATGGTACACACTTATGGCACAAATATGCAGCAGTTGGTTTGGCAACTTTTTTTTAAACCAAATTACCATGGAAACAGTGCAAAAAGGGAGGGAATGGGGAGGAGGTGGACTTCCCATTGAGCGCTAGCTAAAATACATAGCAAAAGAATTCAAATTTTTATACAAAACATCTTACTTTAAGAATTTATAAAAAAATGTTTTTATTGGGTTCTGGGCCATATTTACATAATCTATTTACCAAAAAAGTAGTATGCTCTGCTTTACTGAAGTGTGTCCCATTTTATATGTGAGTATTTTTCTTTTCTTTTCTTTTTTCTTTTATCTTTTTTTTTCGTTTGAACTTTTTTTCATTTACTTTCCTACAAAGATGAATAAGGCTATTGTGACAACCCAGGATCCATATACAATACAAACATGAATGTATTTACAGTCTCTTACCTACAGAAATACGGTGCAAAATTACTGAGGGCTGACCATATGAGCAAGGCATTTTACAGTAGCCTGAGGTGCTTCTCCTAGCCTGTGTGCTAAGACTCTCATGTCATCGCTACAACACTCAGAGCAGGTAGGAGCACACCTGCTGAATGCTGGGAGAGCTTTAGTTGAGCAGCAGCTAAGAAAAGGACGCCAGATTTCAAAAAGGAAAAAAAAAACTAAGATTGTCATATTCTGCCGCAGCTGGACAGCAACTACGTAGGCATTGTTCTGTTGTATCTTTTCTCGTTTGAAATACCTGTCGAGTTGTGTTATGTATGCTTTTTAATGTCATCGTTTTCACAGTATACTTTTATACTACGGCACGTCGTCAAAACTAAAAAGTTTCAAATACAGGTAATGCAGGAAAAAGCTAACAGCAGACTTGTGTGATATAATAGTCGTGTTGTGTGTTGTTACATCTTTCAGTGGTTAAGAACACTTTCCAGAGGTGTTTTTTTTTCTCACAATTGATTAAAAAAATAAATAAGAATTGCATATTTGCAGATTTTGTTGCCTCTCAGAGGCACAAACCTCAGATAATACAAGGCTTGGCTTTTCGGTGGAAATTGATGCATGGATCTATGATTATGTCAACAGTGATGTCACCAATGGGCAAGTAATTCGATGAAGCCACAAATAAGTTCTTAAGCCAATGCTGTCAATGTGGGTGAAGTCACTTAAATGCTCACATACAAACATGCACAACAACACAGTTCCACGGAGAGCATGAGGGGTGTGTCTAGAAGGGGAATTAGTGCACTGGCTTTCGTGTGAATTTCCTTTGGAGTTGAGTGTGGGAGACGCAACCAGTCTGCCTTTGCTGACGCTAACGCAACTATCTCGGGTCAGAGGACTCGACTCCAGACAAAGCTGAAGCTCAGACTCGTCTTTCCTGCTCCTCTTCCCAGAGACTAAGCTCTGCGGCTGAGTGAGAGCTTGTGAAAACACCACTCAGTGAGTCAAAAGATATCAAATAATCAGAAACATACATTGCATAATGTGCAATTATACCATCATATATTAATATTAGATATTCTTGTCCTCCATACCGCCTGTCCATACCTGTATCTATGTATCTACCATAAATAAAATTTTACTTGTCATCTCAATTTTTAATCTTTTTTAATATTTAATGTCTTTTAAATGTACATCTACAAATAAGAAATACGACTCACAAAGAATGAAATGCTAAATGAAAACAGGAGACCATGACAATTGAAAAGAAACAAAAAAAGGAGAAAAAAAACATAGGAGAGCACCGACATGCTAATTCTGGGCCCTTCAGGTACCCTTAATCATCACTGGACCCCTAAGGGTAGCATTACAGTACCTAGAGCAGTAACGGCCAGTCAAACTGACCTCGACCGGATCTCGGGCCTCTTAAACAACAGATGTGTAGAAAAATAAAAAGGTAAAAAGGGTGAACTAGATTTCTGACAGTTACGAATGTTTTCCTGTGAGGAGAAATCCAGGTCCTGGAGTCCAGCCTGCGCTGCTCTGGTGGGAAGCAGCCGCTCTCCCGTCTAAAGATCCCTCTCTGTGGACCGCCGTGAGGAATGGAGGTACCAAAACGAACAATGGAGATTAAAAGTGCTGCACTATGTACTCTAAGGTAGAGGTCCTCCACTCTCCAAAGTCCACCTGGGCGTCCCTCTTTTTTCTGCACCCTAAATCGAAGGGGAGGGGCCTTTCCCACTTTTAGCCACTGTGAGGGCCACATTCCACTACAGGGATAGAAAACCTAAACTTTCCTTTGACTTTCACCAGGATATAAATAAACAGAGCTGACCAGGAGATGCTAATGGAAAAGACAATCAGCTGTTAAAACCTTTGAATCACTTCTAAAAGAAGGGATCTGAACATGTGGAGAAATGGAGCGATGAACACTAAAGCCCGGCTACTTCACATTGTCCAGTGAGACTGCTTCTGTGTGCATGGGTGATTATGTTTATACGTGTAATGGTTAGCATGTGGGTGGCGATGGGAATGGTGATCTCTGTCAGTCAGAGATCCCAAAGGGGATCAGTGTCAGATTTTTTCTTCTTCTCTTCGTTTAGCTGGTAAATCTGCACAGTCTCTCTGGCTTGTGAGCATTAGTGCAGGGCTGCCATTTTGTGAGTTCACCGTTAGCCCGTATTCTACTTAGATTCCCCTCTTGTGTCTCTTTTTCCCTCTCATTGTCAAGCAGTAGTCTCTCTTCACGTGAAGCCGACAACCATATCAGCTCCTCTTTCCCCTCTTGAAGTAATCACCATATCATCCACATACGCGTCTGTCCATTCCAAAGAAAAAGATCATAGTCTGCATCTGTCCCGTGAACACTCTGTTGACCCCAGAATGCCGGCTGCATTGCACAAAACGAACCAGGGAGCAACAGCGGGGAAATAGAGGAGGTCCTCTCTACTTCCCAGAGAGCAGCAGGGCCTTCTGCCTGGACCCTCAGCTGGACCCTGCCTCTCCCATCCACAGGGCTGTGGCCAAAGCAGGGCGAACATTTGAGAACGGGTAAAAATAGTGACAAAACATCAGTGGAAAGGAGAAGTTGACAGAACAAGACAGACCGAAAGAGTGAGTGAGTTCCTTTGTGGGCGTGCGGGGGGGGGCACCGGCCCAAACAAAGCTCTGCTCTGCCTGTGGGCTGATCCGATTCCCGTGGGTTCCAGTTCCAGCTCAGACCTTGTAGTAGATGTTGGCCGGGCTCTGGGGGGGCATCTCCTGGACTATGTAAACGGGGTGTCCGTAGTCGCCGCTGACCTTCTCGTAGTGCGGGCAGAAGACGCTGTCAGCAGTCCTGAGCGGGATGATGATGTCGCTGGGCTCGGAGCCGTTATTGTTCCCGCCCCCTCCGCTGCGTTTGGGCGTGGCCAGGGTGCTGAGGGACAGCGTGGCGGCGTGCTGCGGCGAGTGCTTGCGATGCCGCCGCCGGTACTTGAGCAGCAGCAGGACCAGCATGATGATGATGATGATGAAGATGACGCTGCCCGAGGCGATGCCCACGAAGATGGCCACCTCCGAGCCGATGGCGCTGGAGGACTTCCCCCCGCCCCCGTTGTTGTCGTTGCCCTCTCTGGGAGACACACCTTCAGGAACAGAGACACGGAAACGTGGGTGAGAACGGGGCTTAAACTGACCACTGGTCAACTGGCCAGTCCCTCCACGGGGAGCCCCAGATGAGCTTTATTCAGATTCTAGTTGATTTATAGTTTTTCGTACTTTTGTGTTCCCTGAATATGAGGCTTGGATTAGTGGCTGTCTGCTGAAACCTTTGGCATTAACGCCACACTGAGAGCATTTAACCTAACTAAAGGAAAAGCAGTTCCTCACGTGGACGTTTCTCTGCTCGCCTCTTTCGTTTTCTCTTTCTGCTGTTTCTCATCAGACAAGCTGGGCCAGTAGCTCGGTGTTTTCGAGCGGAGCCCGTTTATTACCAAAGAAATCTTGGGTAATAACAAAACCTTTGATCTTTGGCTGTTCAAACTAGTTCCAGAGAACATCATAAAGTTGAACCTAGTTCAAACTCTGTTCACTGGAAGATACAGCAGCTGAGAGACGGAGGCAAGTGACACTTAGAAAAATGACATTTAAAAAGAAAATTGAAGTAACTTCATTTCCTTGTTGCCTCAACGGGGAGAAAAAATATTTGATTTCATCGTAAAGTATCAATTATAGAAGCCAAGCTGTGCACTGACTCCCAGGAATAAAGACTGGCTGAAACGCAACACTTAAGGTGTTTAGTGTTCCCTCCACAGGACAAAGGCCGTTCCCTGACCGGGCAGGATTACTGTCTGCTGCTGCTGCCTTCAGGGCCTGAAGCTGCTTTCACTGTGGAGAAAGGGTGGATCAGAAGGCCCCTTCACTGTGTTACAGGGGATTGTGCTGCCTCTGGTCTCTGGTCGGAACATCCCGGACTCCATATGTTCTGTTAGCAGCCTGAACCAGGGACTCACAGACCGTTAGGACTGAACTAGGACTGGCCTGGAGACACCTCAGAGGTCCTTTAGGACTCAAACTGCCCAACAGGCCACTGGTTGATCATCTGCTGTCCTTATTTTCAATGGGAGCTTTTCACAAACGCCTGCTGCTTAACATTTTCAGAAGCTACCTGCTCGTTTTTTCTAAATCTCCCCAGGATTCTTTAAAAAAAAGGGCTATCTCACCTGGCTTTTCCAGAACTTCGTTAGGTTTGTGCGGGTCTTTCCCCTCTGGGTGCTTGGGAGGGTAAGGTACTCTGGTGGGGTAGTTTTTGGGTGAAACCGGGTCTGAGGGACCTGAAAGGCACAGATGTACAGGTATTAACAGAGTGTTCATTTAGCCTGTACTTATGTTTAAGGACAATTACAGACTTCCTCAAATCAACCACATGGACATAAGCCTAATGTTTAAGCTTATTAAAAGAAGCTTAAACAAGTCTTTTTTGTTCTTTGTGGGTTTTAGCCAGCAGGGAAGGAACACAGTGGTTCTGTTTTTGGGGAAGGAGGCATTCTGTTGGTTTGCTTTATGCTGAATTGCCCCTTTAGAAAAGGCTCAAATAATCCCTTCTTTATCTATGCTGCTTAATCCCATGGGGATGACTTCAATCAATGAACGTAATAACTTCAATAAATGGACGTAAGTATCCATGCATCAGAAGTAGGCATTAAAAAAGTGTTGTCAGTCCTTTAAAAACATATATAGAAATACAAAAGAAAGCCATCTGAAACTACTCAACTGCTTCTTTATGGAAGCAACTTTCAGAGACAAACCAATACATGTCAAAGCGAAATGACTGCAGTCAATTGTGCGTTTGTTAATTCAGAGTAATTCGGAGTAAAAAGCCTAAATGATTAATTAATTAGCTAAGTATCTGCTATATAAGTTCTGTATTATCAGCACATAGTGGTTGATCTATTCTAATAAATGGGATTTTGAGCAGCTTGTCTTAACACAACAGCTGTTTTTTTGTTACCATAACACAGGAGATCAGATTTCCAGACTAGTTTCTGTTCACTTCTTCCTGAGAGAGCACCACCTTTGGTTTTTGCTCTGCTGACTTCCTGAGACTCCTAAAACAGTTTAAGCCGGGGCTGACAAGTGGAACAACCCTAAAATTATCCCCACACTGATATATGCCCGACAAATGCCATAAAAATTACAGCAACAATTAGGCTTAGGATCCAGACGGGTTTGTAGGGCTTGGTGCGCATCCATCAAAGGGAAGGCAAAGAGTGTCTGGATGGGCCTTGGGTCATGGATCATGAAATCCTGCCTTTAAATTAGATTTGCATATGGTGAAAGCAATCAAGTTGAAAGAGTGTTTGAGAGCAGATGCACTACTGCGTGACTAAATGTAATTTATTTTTCTTCTGCAGTTGCTGATGTCCTGGAAGCAGTGCAGATGTGTGCTGCACAACTCCTGGGACTTTGTTTGACAATACAGAACGCCATTTTGCACATGGTGCTTATTGGATTGTGACTTCCTGTCTGTAAGTGCTCATAACTGTAATCCAGTCATATACTCACTTTGCCCCACTTTCATGGTAATCTTCATTGACTTAGTCTTGCATACACCTCCCTCCTGGTTGTCAATGCCCTCCATGGTTCCGTTGGATGTGGCTACAGAAGGGAAGAAAGAGAAACACGAGGTTAAGATGAGCTGTCCCGCTGAGTATGAGGAAGTAAAAAGATGTGTGGGGTGAATTGTGCTGTTAAATATGACCACCAAAATAAAGAAAAGCCCAACTGGCCTATTCTTTCACTCATAAATTCCACTGGAAAAATATTCTGAATTGCTGGTTTAAATCAAGTTAAGTAAGTGTAATTGTGATGTCTGTATGAGAGCTGATGGGACACGAGGGGGGGGGGGGAGAAAACTAATGACAGCAACAATTCTGGCAAACTGCAGCAAATTCACGGGTCAATTATGCCGGAGTGCTAATGACCCTCCGGAGAGTTTTAGTCCGATTTCAAAGAACTCATTTTAATATTTTAAAAGACATAAGAAGCTCTAGTGAAAGCCAAACAATAGCTGTTGGCAAAAAGACCAAAGTCATTCAAAGAAGACAAAAAGATTGGCTAACATGTCAAATAAAAAACGAACAAGACGCCAAAAATCTTTTGAAACCAGAATAACTGAAATTAGGCTGGCAGGGAGAAGTGATAATGACCCATAAAGAGACATCAAGAGACTTAAAAAAGGAAACAACAGAAGAAGACAGCAGGCAGGCAGAATGCTGGGGACAGGATCCACTAATCACACTGTGAGAGCGGATATCATAAGGAATATTTTAAGAGTAAATACTGATGTTTTTCTTTGTAAAACATTGAACTTTTTGTGCCAGCCCTTTTCCAGACACACAGACATGAAACCTCCATCTTTAACCGAGCCTCCCTCCCAGCTCCCTGCTTTTATCTCTGCTGCCTCTAGTGGCAAACGCAGGGATCTCTGTCAGCTCTGTGGGAGTGGGAGTGGGAACCGGCGTGCAGGGGGGGGGCTGAGGTGAAGGGCTGGGGGTGGGGGCAGCAGGACTTGTGGTCTATCAGGTCAGTAACACAGAGGCTAACGAGCTGCCAGGGCTTAGCGCTCTGGCCTCCCGCCAGTGCTCAGTGGCCCGCATTCATATCGCCCCCCCCCCCTCCTCTTCTCTTTCTTTTCAGCTGAACACAATCCCATCACCCAGTTTCCACCTTTTTTTTAGGCCTGCTACCTTGTAACTTTCCCCTTTCCTCGCTTCCACATTCCCAAATCTTCCCCCAAATCGTCCCCATCAGGTGCAGGGACATTTCAAATCAGACGTTTTGATGAAGCTACTGTCAAATCTTTTATGGTCTTTTGTCCCACTCTTCTCTTCCTCCACCTCCTGGTTCTCCTTTTATCCTTTCCCCCCTTCCTCCCTCCTCCTCTACCAATCATTTTGATCTGAATCTTCTCTCTTCATAAAGACGCTGATGGGAGCAGACACAAAAAGCATGTTAACAAGGACTCCCCTGCTTTCTGCCGCCTCCCGGTCTCCTTCCCTCACTGACCTACGGCTTTCCAGCGGAGACCGCAAAGCACATTAGAGACAAAGCTGCTTAGAGGCTTGTGATGCCGTCCCGTGTTGTCTTAATGTGTGTGCACACGCCTGTGCATATGTTGCTTCCATAAACCTGTTAGCACAACACATGAATGCTGCAATCCTGTAGGAAGCCATTAAGACGCACACATCCTAACACCGTTAGTTTAGCTAAGCGTTCAGTAGGAGCAGGCTGCCTTTGGATGGGTGGGTGTTGAGATGCACACCTTCTCAAAATCATGCTACATACTGGTTATTTTTCCCTCTCTAGGCCTGAAATAACCATTTCATATACAGGTACCTATGTGAACTATAGGACTAAAGAGAAGACTAAGTATATTCTGAAGGAGAAATAAAATATTCAGTCATTTTTTACTTTGTATTCTCCTTCCCTTTACATCTTAAGTGAAACACATTCTCTGTGTGCCAAGGCTGCAGTCCATGCAGGCCTGACTTGGATTTAAACAGAATGTGATTGTTGGATCGGCTCAGGCTGGCTGAATAACTTGGCCCAGTCAGAAGAGGGCCAGGCTGAACTGGCTGACAGACTATCTGGCCAGAGTTAACTAGCTAATCCATATGACTTTGGGCAGGAGGTGGGAACACAGTTTGTAGGAAAGGGGTCCAATACTAGACCCTCACAAATGGATTTAGGTCCTAACTACTGCTGGCTATACAGCAAGACGATCAACTCTGAAAAACAGAGGAGTAGCAGTGAAGGATGGAGGAAAAGAAAAGAGAGGACAGATTAATCAAAGCTTTAAATGCTGCTTGTCTCAGAACAAAGAAAAAAACACACGAGACGTGACAACCAGCTAAACAGAAATGAATCGATCGATCTGAGAACAGCAGATTTTCCCCCCAACATTAGCATCGTCTTGGCTGTGAAACTAATCACATTCTGTCTCGCTGCTTTCCACGGGAAAAAAAGATTGTGGTTTTGGCTTGGGGAAAAAAATGCCCTGCACAAAAAGGCGACTGACAGGCCAAACGTAGCAGCCCAAACATTTTCAGCTGGGTCCCTCCGCCCTCTTAAAGAGCTCCACACTCACACACACACACACTCTGCCTGTCTGTCGTCACTGTCTTTAACTTCATTCTCTCCCGCTTATCAAATCAGGAGGGGAGAAAATCCCCTCGTGTTTAACAAGACAATCAGGTGTGAACTGCAGTGTTGATAAAGCCCATTCAGTGTCAGCCCCTGATGTCATCAGCAGGCCTTTTTCCTAAAATATTTATTAGGTGTAAGCTATGGTTGTAGCAACATTTTTTTGTTGAGAGAGGGGGGAGTTATTGTTCATCATTTTACATCGTAGATTTAAGCCTTTTCCGCAATTTCATATTTAAACGTCGGCCTATTATTAGTCCCGTATGTGGAGCATTGTACAGCTAGAAAAACTCCACTTTGGAAGCGGCCTCACATGCTCAGCCAGATTTCCTCCATAATTAATACACAATGCAGCGCCTAAAGACATGGAAGGGCCACTAATAAATGCTGGCACGAAGCGAACGCACAGCAAAAAGACATTGGAAAAGCCTCCCCGACACAGATCGGACGGGAGGGAGAGTGTGTGGCACAGAGAGGGGCAACGGCCCGATGGATAAACAGAAGAAACTCAAGAGGCAAAGGCAGCTATGATCTAAACGATGAGTGCAATTGTCATGTGTCTGGTTGCTGTGGAGACGGAGGATGTCCTCATGGCGCAGGGGTTACAGGCTGGCTAATGCCTGTCAGAGCCATGTGCCCTAATCAGCCGTGACAGGAGGCGCCTTCAGCCCTTTTTGGGACCCCCGTGACCCTCGGAATCGGGGCAGAGCAAAGCCGGGTGAAAATAATGACAAAGCTTTTGAAGAGCTATTGCTAACCAACACTGTGGTCACACAAAACCTCACAAACATTTGAATCTATTGTTTGTATCCACTGGAACAATAACCTCACGCTCATTAACTAGATTTCAGACTCCAGTAAAATGTGCAATTACTTTGAGTTATTAACCTCATAGAGCCTGAACCAGGAAATAATGTACTCTTTTTTGAGGTCTTAAACACAATGTAAGAAAACTACATTTTCTTGTTTCATTTATTCATTTTAATTCATATATTCTGCACATTTTAACTGTAAACTAAAGTGCAACTAAAGGGAAAACTCTATGATGCCTCTAAGATGATGCCACAGGTTTCAGAAACCTGTGTATCAATTATGATATACATGGATTAGAGGATTAACTTTTTCTGGTGTAGACACATCTTAACATCAATTAAAGCTGATCAATCAAACCAGTTGTTTCAGCAATGCTGTAATAAGGCCAGAAACAGCCCACTTTTATTAACCTTGCTGAAGGGGAGCAATTAAGATCTGAGGAAGATTTGAAAAACGTGCATTTTGAATTGGAATCAGATGGAAAAAGAGGAATCCACCCTGTCTCATGCCTCTCGCTACATTTGCAGAAGAGAAAACCTGATTAAAAGCTTTCCCTGTGCATATCAGCGCTGCCCCCCTGTCCTCACAAAGCACCTTTACTCTTTACTGACTGAGCTATTGGTATGCATCAATTCCCTTTAACCACACTTCCTCTTTACTTCTTTAGCTCTCTGTCCTTTTTTCCTCACCGCCCCCCCCCCCCCCCCCCCCCCCCCCTTTCTTTTTCCCCCCCCCCCCCTCCTTCTTCCTTTCCCCTCCCTCTTTTTTCCCCCCCCCCCCCCCCCCCCCTCCCCCGGCTCCCTTGTTAGCTCTCTTTCGTCACTCTTCTGGCTCCTTTCCCCTCTCATTCATCTTCCTCCCCTGCTCCTCGGCTCATGTAATCATCTTGCTCGCTGGGTTCTCGGCTGTAGGCCATGCTGCCGCGAACGCTCACGTCAAACTCGTCTGCTGCTAACCGGAGCAGCCTTGTGCGGAGCCGCGTTAAGCCCTAACCACAGACATACAAATACAGGCAAATCTGCAGGTGCACGGGGCCTCGTCACAACTCTGGAAACCGTCGCGGACACAGGACAGTTAGAAAACACACACATACACACAACATGCAGAAACATGAGGGAGTGCTGGAGACACACAGTCAGACTGACACACACTGACTGTTTGTGCACCACAAACATGTCCGACTGACTTTCAGGACGCAGCGTAACACACCATAAGATGACCAGTACCGAGGCGTCCCAAAGGAGTAGGGGGCTCTAACGTACTCATCTAATCTAGGACCAGCCTTGGCACAGCGCTAGACACAAGGCAACGCTAATCCAATTGGTGGAGAATCAGATCCGTAGCATTGATGTGAGAGCCCGGGCAATTGTGAGAGGAAATTGGGGATTAAACGCTGGTTAATTAATTACGTATTGAGTGCTCACTCCAAAAGACTAATGAAATCCTCTCACTGAACTTTTTCAGTGTCACACTCTGACGGGGCTTTAACAGCGCTGCTGGGAGTGGATGGAAGAGGGTGTGCAGGGACACATGCGCGCCCAGAGAGGTGGCCATTCCTTCACACGGACTGACAGACGGCTGCTGGAGCCCCGGGGATCAGTCACACAATGCTTTTCTGCAGCCGGAGACACTCCGCCCAGACACGCCTCGGCCATTTTCTTTTTTCTCTGATTTGGCTCCGTGCGCTCGTGCTCTACTCGCGTTGTTTGTGCCGAGCACACAGATTATTAAAGCTGCGAACCGGGAGCAGGGGTCACAGGGTTCAGACAATTAACAACAACGCTGACACACCAAAAGGAAGCTGCTCCCTCTCTCCTCTCTCTGGGCTACAAATTAGCATCTTGGAAAGCCAAAGAGAGGAGGTGAAATGGAAGGAGTGCAGGTGAAGAGGAGAGGAGGTTTTTGTGAATAAATGTCATTTAGTTTTCCCCTAATCTCTCTATTCTGATGCGTTTATTTAAGAGGGGCATGAAGATTAAGCTTACAGAAACTGAAAAGAGCCGAACCCCAGACATCTGTAATAATTGGACACAACTAGGAGTGTACAGAGAAGCAGCTTCAGGCCACAAAGGAACAGCGTGTGTGTGTGTGTGTTAACACACCCAGAGATGTGTACCCACTGCACTTTTTAACATTCTGAACTTCCTCATTAACCTGAACGCTGTTTCTAACCACGACGGGGTGGTGATCTGTGCACCTCCTCAGTCAGAGGCCAGCGTGCTCCTCCCTGGTTTACTCAGGTTCTACTTGTGTGGATTTTCACTCAGTACACCAGATATGTAGCATATATTATATTTGGCAGAAGATTATTTTCTGTAATGTATCAGGATTCTTCTGAAAGGCCTCAGAGGTCACTGTTGGACAGATTAAATAAGAGTAACTGAGGGCAGAATGTTTTGTGTTTGCGTGGATGTTGCGTAACTTGATCAATCTTTTTGTGGGACTTTTCAATATAAGAAGTTCAGAACAAATGGTGTGGGATTTGGCTGTATAGTGGTTAACAGCTGTTGACTGAATATCTTTGCATAATTCTCCGTCCTCTATCACGATGCCTTATTTGGATAGGAAACAGCGTTTCCTGCCATTCTTTAATCTTCTCCTCACTCTCCCTGGTTTTCTTTGCTTCTATCCAGTCAGATATATGGCCCTCCCCACTGTGACAGCTCACAGATGGCTGTGGCAGAGCCTCGCAGATGGTCCTATCCGCGGCACAGCCCCCCCCCCCACCGGCGCCACACAGATGGTTCAGTCCACCTCCCATGTTTCAAACCGGGGGGCCATCGCAAAACTCCACCAGAGCTTCCTTCCAGGACGGCTTTAGTGTATCACAGGCATCAGAGAGGGGCAGTAGCCGGACCCCAGCCCCGGGAAGATCTGGCCAATCGGAACAGCAGCGCCTTAGAGCCCGAGGAAGCCCAGATCTTTGGTAATAACAATAATTATCCTGACGTTTAACTCACACCGAAGTCTGAAACGTTAACTGACTGCTCTGTGTTCTGATTCATGTCTGATTCAGTCCGCCATTATACTTACAGATGATGTAATAATCTTTTCCCTTGAAGAACTCCAGTCCCCACAGATTAGGGCTGAACTCCTGGAACTTGAGGGTGAACTTGACATCTTGGTCAGGCTTGACGCAGTTGAGCAGAGGCGTGTCAGCCTTGGTGATGGTGCAGCTCTCCAGCTGCTCCTTGGGGACCATGTACACCTTGTAATACTCCACGCCGTCGCTCACCCCGCCGTCCACTCGGGGGCACACAATGTCCAACTTATCCCCGATCTGGGGGTATAAAACCACACCTTGGCCTGGCACAAATCTGAAAGGAAACAGGGAAACTGAGTTCAATACATGTAAACATGTAAACACACATTTTCAAATACACATATACACACATATACATACACATACATATATATATACATATTTATACATATACATATATATATACATAAATAGACAGAATGTAAGAGCTGTGTGTTGTGTTGGCTGATAGTTCTTTAACTGTTTTTGCTGAGTCCTGATTTTTATGACATCAGAATCAGAAATACTTTAATAACCCCAGAGGGAAATTATTTGAAGGGGTGTGTGTGCAGGTGTGTTTCCACAGGGACTTTAACAGCTCCATCAACAGCCAAAAAGGTCCGATCATTTGATATGTTCCCAAAATATAGCAGTTAGCAGTTAGCGGTATAATATAGAGCAGAGGGCTTTGGGGGGGGGTGAGCAGAGCGGTTTCACGGTGTCAGCAGTGCGTTGACTTCTCCGGATGATGACTGCGGCGAGGCCAACACAAATAGTTGTGCTGCTGTTCTGCTGTTCCACTTTGATCACAAAGACAGCCACCGCAACATGGCACGGGAGCTCTCCCTCAAGGTGTGTGTGTGGGGGGGGGGGGCTAAGCCAGATCATTTATTAATGAATTAGGAGTTTTATAATTCAGTGGAAGGAGAAACACAGTTTACATCCATACAGGGAGCATAAATGGACTCATTTTTTCCCTCTCTGTCTGGAATGCGCACATTTTAAACCGACAAATGCAAACAAACATGTCTCTCTCCCTCTCTGACAGCCGCCATGGCTATTATGCTTCCAGGAAGCGTTTGCTGGACGCGGCTCACATGTAGACACAGGACATGCGCAGCAGCTAACTGGGCCATAGCAGCGTTTTTTCCTCTGCTCCTCTCCCCCCACCACCCCGGGGAGACAATGAGCGTGGAACAGCGTGTCCAGTGGCGGACATGCAGAGCGAGGCCTGGGACGTGCACAGCGCCATCTGGCACCCTCCTCTGCCCGTCGAGAGGCAAAGAACAGAGAAAACAAGCTCTACTGAGAGGCCTGGAGGCCTGAACATCTTCCAGAGCTGTGTGGATGACCTTCCTGAGCGCGTGTGGCTGGAACATATTTCCAAATGTGTTAATGTGTTCGTAGGGCGGGAACGCGTGAGGCTTTTTTCACATCTACATGTGTGCGTTCTGTGGCGTGTGGTTTGTGTCCACAAGCTGATCGAAGAGAGCCTCGATGCTTCCCTTACATAATGACAAAGACGGGAGAGGAAAACCGCCATCCACTAGTCTGGATTTCAGACTCTGTGTTTTAAATGATGGAAATTTAAACTCAAATGCTCATGCAGTCTGTCAACTTTCCGGGTAAAGCCCCGTCAAAAAAAACAGGAATGGTAGCATGTAAAGACAACATGATGCAACTTGTGAGAGTGACAGAAATAATACTGACAGTTATTTCCAGATACAGACACAAACAGGTTCACATATGAAAGAAAAAAAGAAAACTTTCTTTCACCTGATTGAGGTATTTAACTATCTAGCTCTTCGAGGTGTATTGACAGCCCTATGTATATTATGCTCCAACAAAATAAAAAAAAAAATGTTCTAGGTGAAGGTTAAGATCATTAATAATTTAAAATGTTTACCAAGAACACAAACCATAACTAATATTTTATTTATTTATTTTTCTTGGGAGCCACAGAGCCTCCCTCCAAACTGCAAACCAATACGTTTTCATTCAAAAATCAAGAGTTGTGTGAGTGTTTTATATAGACTCTACGCTCCTGTGTCTCCAGGCCAATGTACAGTTACCTCCTGTCTACCTGAAACGAAAAAGTAACAAGCCGAAAAGGCCCTTCGTGTAGTAGCTTGTTGTGCCGTTTGCGTGAACTTGTGGCCTAAAAAACAGAAGCTTTAACCTGTTCAGGGTTAATCAAACCGATACAATTTTTGGTTTAAGTATTTCTTCGGATGTGTGAGAGGAAGATGTGAAAAAACAGAACATGAATCAAACTGCAAACATGGACTCTGATTATGCAAACATGGATCAAAATATCCCTGATCTGAACACTAACAATCTAGGAAGTTAGTCTGCAGCAGAACCAAGAGAAAGTTATTGTTATCCTGGTATGTACTCATTCCTACACACATGGTTGTGTCTCTCTCTGTGTCTCACACACACACACACACACACACACCCAGGGTGTGTGTTGTTCCATGCAGAATGGGAGATAATAGGAAAATGATTTGTCATACCTTTTTCCTATTTCGGGACACAGCAGCTGATTTACGTTAGAGGGCCGTCTAATGGGAGCGTTCATGAATGCTGATAAAGAGAAAACTGTCGAGCTGGAGATTCAATATAGACTGTCAAGGGGCTAATTAAGGGTAAATATGAATTCTCCGGAATTATGTCATCAGACAAAGCAAAAGCTGGCTGAGGAGAGAAAGCCGTGGAAAAAGGACAATTGAACCATTGTGGATGCACCGGGTGGCTAAGTGTCAGGTACCAGGACCTGCCCCCCCCCCCCACAGATATCAGAGACCAGCAGCACGTGTCCAGAGCAAAGTCATCAGGAGGCTCACAGAACCACGTCTAATTGATAACAAATAAAGAGCAGAGATTAGAATGGCAGTAAACCACTTAAAAGCATGTCCCGCCATCTCATGATTGTAAATGTATTCGACCCCCACCCTCCATCCAGCCCACTCACCACTGCTTTAAGGCATACTTGGCCCTTCACTCCTCCCGCTTCCCCGCCCTCCACAACTCTTCCTAAAACCCCTTTGTGAGACACTCACCCCCATCCCATTCTTGAAATATTCCTTAGCCAAAGACCCCAGAGCAATTTCACATGGGTGAGGCCTTCAAAGCAATAAAAGCTGCCAGGCTAAACTGCAAAGGGAGGGCTGGCTTTAAAAAACACAGCATTTACATTTCACGTCCTGAGCTGATGTGAAATCAAACTGGAACACATCCATGGTATGTTTCCTTTTTTTCAGTCTGAACTTCCTAATAGAGCACATGTTCGGCTCAGGCTGCAGAACCCAAACCGAGAGGGGAAATCTGACAGCCTCTGCTGTGGAAACTTCAATCAATACAAATATTTAACTGCTAGTTTTCCTTTGGTCGCTGCGGTCAGATATGAGCGTCATTCCACATTGACTCTGTCTCTATTTCATACCAGAACACATCGGGTTCTCCACCCATCATAACAAGATTTCAGATTTGTTTTTGCTAAACTAAGTACATATTATCATTATAACGTATACAATTGTTTTAGAATCTTAAAAAAACTATATAAAAACATTTAAATCAAAATGAACGTCCTAAAAAAGTTTTATTCATGATGCCAGTGAAGATATTTGAAGATAATTTTAGCTGAAGGAAACACCGACTCTGAGCGATTGCTAAAAAAAAGCCTTTTGTGGGATTTTAAACTTTAACTGTGAAAATAGCAGATACATTTTTCCTTTTCAATCTTTGTAGATGGTTTGTATCATTTATCCTTCCACACAACGAGGGCGACGCTCATAAAATGGTGGAATGCATAATCCCAAAGCCTTCAATGCAAAGTTTGGGCTTTTTTAAAGCAGGTTTTTGTTTGCTTTTCTGCTTCACAGAAGCTGGTCAACGAGGAAGAATGCATCATTTTTAGGTAAAGGGTTGGAAGTCTGCACACCAAGTTTCTGAGGTCTGAAATCTCCCCGTTGCAGGAAAAGAATCGAATATTCTCTTTTCCCCTACATCCTCTGAACATAACCTGATTCTCCCCTCTGCCTTACATTCTGTATTTATACCACAACTCTGGTGGATCTGCATACGACCAGAGAGAGCAGGACTGGCCGCCCCTGGGGGGGGCCGCCCCTGTCCCGTCCCTGTAAAATGAGGGACGGAGGTTAGCTGATCGGAGCGACCGTTGATTGCTGCCTCCTAAATGTGGAGCGAGGTCTGGCGGGGGTTAATCCGGCCCGGGTCTGGCTCCCGCCCTCTGCCGGCCGGGGGGACGGAGGGCTCTGTGGGGGCTGAGACCCTTCCACCCCGGTTCTCCATGGTTCTGCCCGCCCTGCGTGCCTCTGCCCCCCCCCAGCCCCTTTCATCCTGTAATCCAGGCCTTTGGGATCTGAGTGAGCCTAGACATAATTACCCCCCCCTTTCCCCATGAGACCACAATGCTCTTTTTCCATCTTTTCCTTATTTTTTAATGTTTTATCAATTAATTCCTTTCCTATATTGTTTGTCTTAATCTCCAACTTGTCTCAATTCACCTGAAAGTAACCAAGTTATCCCCAATATAATTTTATCTTCATCATTACCGATTTGTATTTTCAAAAAATGTCTGAGCATAAGATTTACCTTGAAAAATAGATAATCGCCCATGAGCGGGCATTTTAAAAGGCAGAGGCTTCACAGAGTGATAAAAGGGAAGAGAATCATTACAACATGCAGACATTTAGCCTCATCACTCACTGGTGATGGGCTAGCAATTCCTGCTTCCCTCCTTCCTTCTACCCTTTCCTCTTTCCCTCCATCCTTCCCTCTCTCCCCCCATCCTTCCACGTTCACAAAAGGTCCTAAAGAGGTGCCCTGTCAAAGGCCCGTCACAATGGACCTTTGGGGCTTCTATGTAATCTCTTAATGAACTGCAGTGGAGGAGAGAGAGCGCTCCTTTTACATAAACCATGTAAAGCGGGGTTCTCCTTTGTTTCTCCCTCCCAACTACAAAATGGATTACCAGATGAAGGATGTGTGTGTGGCGTGATGTGTGTGTGTGTGTGTGGAGGGGGACACTGGGGTAAGGAGTACGAGGAGTTGGTTGTGGGGTCATTCTCCCATTTTTCTCCCTAGAAAAGCTCACGCAAAGGGGCAGTAATGAAGTAAAGCGCAAACAACAATGAGGTTTAATCGACACACCCTTGGGCCCCATGAAGGGATTCTTTTTTTTCCCTTCTTTTTTTCATTCTGTTGAAAGATGCACACACAGTTAAGAGACAGCTAGCTGTTTCTTTATCCTCTCCCCAGCCTACACACACACACACACACACACACACACTTACACAAAGCTTCCACTACCCCGGAGCTTTTGCATTTCTAACATTTATCCTTCCTTGAATGGCCAGGGGAAGGCCAACACTAACTAAAAGGGAGACATGAAGACAGAGAAAACCTGCTCTGTTGAACATTATGCTAACCGGCTGCAGAGAGACATTCAACTTTTGCCGTTCTCAGTTACAGAAAAAAAGGCTTTCAACAAGCTGCAAAAGGGGGAAATAGAAGATTGGTTGACCTGCATTCAGAGCACACTCACAGAGAAAGTGACTTGTCAGACTGAGTGGAGAAAATTAGATTATTCTGCAAACTCGCCTGTTCGACTTAAACAACACCTTCTCTTTTTCATAGGCAAATTAAGAGACATCCAAGGCAGTAAGGGGCTTTTTTTTCAGTGCAATTTAGATTTATTGTAGCCAGAGAACTTTAGCTACAAGACCCAGAAATTGCTTTTGCTCTTGTACAAAAACAGGAAAGAAAGAATGAGAAATCACTTTGAATTTGCAAGTAAAACCACCTTTCTAAGGCAGCGTTTTCAATGTTGTTTTTTTTATATTTCCATCCATTTTCTGCTACTATAAATAGAGGGGAAATTATATAAATGAATAAAAACAATTACTCAAACTAATACCATTTACACACACACACACACACACTCACACACACACACACACACATTAATATGTATGTGCATAGCTATGAAGAAATTCAACAGATTTATTTTTATGTGAATATTAATACATACATGTATATGTATATATATGTATATACATATATATGGCTGTATAGACAGACATATGAACGTGTCGTCATATTTTAATTATTCTAGAAACTTTCCAATAGATACGAAAACACTTGCAGCTTTGCGTTCCCAAATGCTGATTTGACGACATATTTCTAAACTGTGGCACAGCTCTGTAAATATACAGTTAAATGACTGTAATATTAAACAAATGTGCTGTTTTTTGGATGCGGGCAGTGTGCTGCGCCACCGTCTAGACACGCGGAGGGACCCCGCCGCCGGGGCCCGGTCCCCCACGCGGGACGCGGGACGCGGCGGTCCGCTGGCGGCAGGCAGGGCCAGCCTGAGTCCCAAACCGAGCCCAATGTCCAGCCCAGGGGCCGGACACTGGGCCGCGCAACGATGGACACCTGTTTACGCGTAACGGCGTCTCCTCTGAGTGTCTCACCGAGAGACAGAGAGGCTGAGGGGGGGAGAGACTGGAGCCAAAGGCCGCGTTTGGTGACTTGGGGATTTGGTCAGACAGAAAACGGCCTCTTAGAGCCCGACCCGTCGGGCCTAGACCCGGACCCGGACCAGGAGCGGCTCGGTTAACCATTGCGCCTGGTGTGTTGGGCATGGGGAAAAAAACGAATAAAAAAGGACCAGTGGGGCTCTGTTTGGTCACCTTCCTACAGACCAGCAGCTGGCATCCGCTCTGGGCTGGTTTTACGCCCTAACGTCTGCAAGTGGTGGAGTCTGGAGGCGAGCCGTTCTGGTTTTTATCTCAACGAACACATTTCCAGCTCCAACAACTCCAAAATCCGGTCCATTGTTCCGAAAATGCTCCGACACAACAATCACGCGCAGCCTCGGCACAAACTTTCAGGCCCTGCGTCTCACTGGGCTCCTGCGTGGAATAAACACGGAGCCGCGGGCCTTTACGCGGAGCCCCGGGCCCGGGCGACCCTATCCCCGGTTGGAGGGACCAGGGGGTCCCGACAACACCCCCAAGGCGCGCGGGCCCCCGCCGAGCCCGTTCCAGCAACTTTGCGATGACGCGCACGGACCTCGCGGTGCTGTGCGCGTGAATATTGTCACGCGGCGGACGGACAGTAAAGCAGCCCCGTTTCCCCCCCCCCCCCCCCCCCCCCCCCCCCGCCTGAGGGAGAAAAGCAGCCAGACGCCAACTTGTTTTGTGGTCTCAAAATCCCACTTTTCCCCAGAGGTGTGTGACTAAACGCAAAACTGGAGGGGGGATTTTTTTAGACTCATTCATAATTAGGATTCAAATTTTAAACGCAGAGACAAATGAGACTATATTTCTTTTTTAAATCCGAGAAAACGCAGCCTCCTCTGCGGCGCGCGGACCGTCAGAGGCAGATCCAAACCTTCATTTCACGCTAATCTGGGAGCTCTTTGTTCTGGCCCTTTGGCTTTATTTAGCCAGCCACCGCTGGGAACTGACCACTATTTTACGCACGTATATGCCGGAGGTGGAGGGATGTTTTTTGGGGGACTGGAAGGAGACGCGGCGCTTACCTGGTGTTCGTCGTGTTCCAGTAGATGGACTCCAGGATGAGCGCCCGAGCCAAGTCCACTTTGAAGGCGAGAAACAAAACTCCAACATAATATCTCCACATCGAGTCCCCCATGGTGAACTCGCGCGCTTCCCAAAATGTGCTCGCAATCCGCCTCGAAATGAACAGAAGTGTGTGTCCACAAACAGAAAAAAAATCAGGAGGAAATCGCAAAGTCAAGCGCTCCGGGGGGGGGGGGGGGGGGTCTGGCCGAAAAGTCTTCACCTTATTCCCGGATCCTGTGCGGGTGCATGGAGACCACGAGCCCAGACTCTAGCATCCCCAGAAGAGAGAACCTGCTCCGAAAGCCAGTTCACTGGGGGGGCAGTGCGTTCATATTCTCCCGCATGCACCAGCCGGTCAAATACATTCCTCACTGACCACCGGAGAGAGTGTCCGCCGGGGGGTCGGCCGGCGCGAGACGCATCCAAATCCCTCCGCGTCGGTGCCAGGCGGCGCGCGGCTAAATCCAGAGCCGGTGGAGAGGAGAGGAGAGGAGGAGAAGAGGAGGATGGCTGGCGGTGGGATGGGATGCGCTCCGCTCCCAGATCGAGCTGTGAGCAGCGGCAAACTGGAGGGGGGGGGGGGGGGGGGTGACAGCAGCGGAGGGATGACCACAGCCAAACAATGAGGGTCGGATGGCAGAAATTAGGCGAAATGAACAAATGTATGAATGCCTGAAATCAAAGGAGCTGAAATGGAAGTTCTCATACTAGAGGTTCCCTCCAGGAGAAGAAAGAAAAAAAAAAAAAAAAGCCCCGAAGTGTCGCGCCTGAATCCCGCAGCCCGTGCACAAAAAGCAGCCCCAACGCACGGAGGCTGCGCGCGATCCGGACCTGGATGGGAAATAACTGCAAGGGACGGCGACTGGGAATATTTGCTGGAGCCGACCCGGCCCAGGCCCCGCCCCCCGCCGCCGCTGATTGGTCGCCGCGCGGGAAAGTCGATAGAAGTTCTGCTGTCAATCCGAGGCGACAACTGGTTGAGTGGGGCGACTATTGGAGGAGAAATGACTCTCATTTCAGCAGGAGGTTCAAAGAGTTTCTCTTTTATTATTCTAATGTCTTCCCAGAGAGTTTTTAAATGTTATTTCAAACTGTCACATCGGGTATAAGGCAGTATCAGCCCTTTAAGTATAGGCCCGTAATGAAAACCTGTAATTATGGATTCTATAAAGTACAAAAGAATAAAACTCTGTCGGCAACACGTCGCTCTGTCCTCTGTCTGAGGAACCTGATTCAAGGACAACTAAACCAGTATTTAAGTGGAGAAAAAACGGCCTCGGCCCTCCGACATCAGAGCAGCGGCAGGACGGGTTTTAGGAAGGCCAAGAGCGCCCACTAGCGGCGGAGAAGTGGAACTACAGCTCCCGGAGCACAGACCCTCACCTCCAGCTCTGGACCGTTTTAAAATACATTTAAACAATTTAGCCTAAATAAAAAAATATATAAATAGTCCAAATATTTTGTATAAATTTATTAAATAATAAATACAATTACGGAGCATAAAACGAATAATTTTAGGTGACGGTTTGAATGGAAACTAATTCCTTCTTCCAAGCTTTAGCCGTTTGTCCGTGTTCTTTTTTGGGAGCGTCATTATTTAAGAGTCCTGTTGGAAAATAAAACCATGAAATCATTAGCAGACATTATCTGCCGGGTTGTTGAAAGTGAGTCCGCGGCTTGTTAACGCGCTTCCTGTCTGGAAAAACACACGTTCGCACCTCGTGAGAACCCTTTCATTTAGGGAGCAGACTCTAATTCAATGAGCGCGCGCACACACTCGCTAACGCGGCGTGGATTGCTGAGGTGTGGGCCTCTGACACTTTGAGGAGACTTAATTTGATCGGGTTTCCTGCTCCTGGCTCTTTGATGGGCTCCGGGCGGCTGGCCGCGGGTCTGTTTGTCCAGCTGACCGCCACCGGCCTGTGACCTCCGGCTGACCAGGCCCCGGCCCTCCGGCAGCAGCAGCCTGGATGTTTATTGCCGTCCATCACTGATCTGATCATCCAATCCATTACCGGCCTTATGACGGCTCCCAGAAAAAACTAAACAAACTCCAAACCGTCCCGGATCAGCGGCGTTATCGCGCTTTTACGCACAGCATTTCCATCCCAAAGCGGTCCATTCACAGGCCTTTGTCTGGAAAAGCAAATGAGATTAGAAACAGGCCCTTAATGAAAAGGTTATGTAGGCCTGTCTGTCCCGCTGACGGGTCAGATCCAGCCAGCCAGACCTCTGGGTCCGTTTACGGGGTTTTTTCCCTCCCTTACCGGGGTTATTTCCCACTTTACCGGGGTTACTTCCACCCATACCGGGGTTATTTCCCCCCTTTTCCGGGGTTATTCCCCCCCTTACCGGGGTTATTTCCCACTTTACCGGGGTTATCTTTCCGCCCTTACCGGGGTTATTTCCCTCCCTTAACGGGGTTATTTCCCACTTTACCGGGGAAATCTTTCCGCCCTTACCGGGGTTATTTCCCCCCCTCTCTGGGTTTATTTTTCCACCCTTACTGGGTTTATTTTCCCTCCTTACGGGAGTGTTTTACGGGGGTTATTTAACCCCACCCGGGAGTTATTATTTTTCGCCCTTACGGGAGTTATTTTCCCTCGTTTCGGGAGTTATTTCCCGTCGGGCCTCTGGCTGAAACGGGGCTGCTGAAGCCGTCGCACCGGTCAGCCTAAAGAAACCCGGACAGAGCTCAGAACTGGACCCGTTTTCATCAGAAACTTTGCAGCTTTAACTCTCACAGTTCTGAAACTAAATACAGAATACACTCCTTCAAAATCTGCTTTAATTACGAACTAAAGTTCTTCTGTGAGCGCACCTCTGTGCGCGCTGCGGAACCGGTCAGTGGTGGGGGGGGGGGGTGACCGTGGGGGGGGGGCCGGCCGGGGGGGGGGGGAGTGGCGGGGGAGGGGGGGGGGGGGCAGTCCGCCTCTCTTCTGGGGGGGGGGCAAATGAATGCCAATTTGGTGAGAACAAGCTGGAGCGTCTAACCTCTATAATGTTCTTTTATGGCATTTTAAACTACCATAATGCTTAAAAACACAGTTCATTGTGAGTTTAATAATATATCCAAGCTGCCCTCCAGCAGCTGGAACTGGGGCTGAGTCCAGAGGGGGTTGGGGTCACTGGTCAGGCTTTCCCTCCATCTGAGTCCTCTTCGTGGACACAGAGCTTATTTATAGGGTGAGCTTTGTCACGTGATTTCGGGATATTCTGGATTTATTAATGCCTGTTTGGGTTCACAGTCCACTTTATTCAACCGTTTCCAGGAGAGAGAAGCAGAGTCGCATTCAATGAGTTTATTGATCTGTTCAGTCCCTTGACAATGGAGGGAGGGGAGAAAACAAATTGCACGACAAATTCAAGATTTCACAAAACAAAGTTTTGATACCCACCTGAGGTCAGTCTAAGTCAGCCACACACACACACACAGACACACACACACACACACAGACGCACACACACACATCCATCCCGCTGACACCAGCCTCAAACCTCATCTTACCTGAAGTTGAGCATCCTCATATGAATCAAGACTTACCAAGTTAGGCGCCTTTACCAAGTTAATTTAGCACAACATGACTGGAGAACAGAGTGTGGACATTTTGACCAGAACTGTCGCTTTTTCTCATCTATTGGTGGATGACTTTTAGAACTTTCTTAACTCAGGGGGGAAACAGCACACCACAGCTGGGCCAACAACGTCTCACTACACAGGAACCGCCACTAATGGCCCAAAAGGGCCCCCAGCTCAGACCTGCTGTGGGCCAACCGGACCCCCTCGATATGAGATGGTACATCTCAAGGGGCAATCCTTTAAATGGACTTAACTGAATCACCAGCAGCCTGGGAGTCTGGGTTCAGCTCGTCTTCGAATTTAGCAGGAGTCCCACGTTTCGGAGGGAAATGTTTAGAGGTGAGCAGAACTGAAGCGGGGGGGGCGGGGGGAGCTGGTGGCTAAAAAAATCTAAAGGAGGTGGAAGACCCAAAGCTTTCGGCTCCTTCAGAATCAGTTAATGATAGTGCCGCTCTCACTTAAAAACATGCAGAACAGGAGAACCGACTCCCAAGCTGCATGATGCCTTCCACTGAGACGGGCAGCTAGCGGAAAGCTAGCGGGCGGCTAACGGGCAGCTAGCGGGCAGCTGCTCCATCAGGGCTGGCCGAGGGGTGTGGACAGACGCTACAGAGGGTACAAGTGCACTGCTGCTCACTGTTACAGAGTTAAGACTTATGGGAGAGGAACATGAAACAACTACATCAAAAATTTTAATTCCCTAAAAATGAAACGAAAAACCGAGTAAAAACAAAAGCAGTCGTCTGTGCGGTTGACATGAGGAGGGACCGTGGGGAGCGGTTCAGTTCCTCCAGGGCCGGGAGCGGCCTCGTCGGGCCTTCACGGGGACATGAGTTTGAGCGGCGCCCCCTTTCCTTTAGCACTTCCAAAATGAAGCGAGCGTTCCACAAAGGATGACAAGGACAGGGGCGGGATCATGAGAAGAGCTGGATGGGCATGAAGGCAGGGCGTGACACGCGGTGCGGGGGGGGCAGTCTCATTCTGCCGCCTTCAGGGAGAAGGACAGCTTGGGTCTGGACTTGCCCTTTCCCAGGATGATTTTCTGCTCCTCCTTTTGCTGCCTCTGACGGTCCTGCTCAAGCTTCATGCGCTCCTCATGGATCTTTCTCTGCTCTTCAACAATACGCAACTGGTCCTCGGCCTGTGGGGACAAACGGGTCACGTGAGGTCAGACAACTGCTTCCTGAACTAGGCTTGTCCTCGTTCAGCCTCGGATATTTCCAAAACAATGTGTATGGCCGGCAGGAGAAAACTCTGATCCAGACTTCAGATCCAGTTTTTTTTTTTTTTTAAGTCTGATCCCACATGAGCATTAGCATTAGCATCTGTAACCCACAGGTCTGTGTCCTAACCATTAAGTTGTTATCAGAGTAAATCCCTGTTCAAAATGAGTCTGACAACTAAGTAAGTAAATAAATAACTTTAAACTTTAGTACATGCTCTGATAAGCCGGGATCGGATCGGAAGTGCAAGAAGCTGAATCGGGACATTCCTATCCTGAGCACAACAAAACAAAGCACTGTAGCTTTGTTGGCTAATGCCGCAACGTGTGAGTCAAGGCTACATCACGTAAACTGTTTAAAAACGAGGCTGAAACACAAATTAGAACAATGACGCCCAGCTGAGAGGAATCTGCTGGTACTGCCTGTCGCTTAGCCAGAAACCGGCGTGGTCAGAACCACTGGGAGCCATCAGCAAACCGGTCAGGATCAAATACCCAGAAGTGGCATCAAAAAGCAAACAAACAACGGAGGCGCGTGTCTCCCGGCGGAGTGCATTCCTCCAGCAACGAGTGGGATGCTTCCACCAAAAGTATGAGCTCCAAATACGAGTGGCAGGAGGCCGCCGCCCATGTGAGCCGCAGCTATGGAAGAGAGGTTCAGAGTAGGCACGCCAACATCCAGCTTTTTTCAGCCTACTGACTTATTGTCAGACTCATGTTAACAGGAATTTACTCTGATAACTAGCCACCTGAATTAGGGGAGTCTGAATAATATAGGAGAAACACAAAATAGGCCAAACTATAAATAACTAACTGAAATGGCATCAGTGAACAGAAAAAACTGTATTAAAAAGGCAAAACATGCAAACAACTGCATAGAAAATAGTCTATTAACTCAGCATCAGAACTGTTTTACATCCACCTCTTGGTCATAAAATAATCCCACACAGTTGACATTTTTACCGACAGCTTCACATTAACATGGCCGTCTTAATTAATAGTTGTGGGTCAGAGATGCTAATGCTAATGCTTAAGGCTGTGCTGGAAAATGGTAGAACCGGACATTAGGGAACAATGGATTATTTTAAATGGATGGGATTTTTTTTTTTTAACTGGATCTGAAGTCTGGGTCTGTATTTTCTCCTGCCGGTCGATAGGCATCTTTTTGCATATATGGGTGGCTGTTACTATCCAGATATGGATCGGGAGCAGCCCGGTTCAGAGGGCCGGTGCCCGTGGCCAGAGGGGCCGCAGGACCTACCAGCTTGGCCTGGGCCTCGGCGATCTTGCGGTTATTCTCCTCCAGGATTTTTTCCAGTTCCTCCCGCTTGGACTTTTCTTCCTCCTGGATGGGTGACATGGTGCCATGTTAGCGCGTGAGCAGGCTTCCGGCACAGAGCGGTGAACACACACGTTCACCTGCGTCGTCACGTGCAGAGACGCACATCTGCCACCAGCACACACACGCGCGCACACACACACACACACACTCAACCCACACATGGTTCGTCCAGCTCTCACTCATGAGCACACATGCTCTCTGCAGTCACCCTGAATTCAGATTAGGGGGCAAAAACACAGAAAGTGTGAGGGAAGTAACCCCGCTAAATTTGTTGTCCCCTCCCATCCAATAGCTCCTGGACAGATTACGGGCTAAGCCACACCTAGGGCTCTCTGTGGATTAACGGGACGGGCGTTAACTGTTTACCAAAACGCTCCAAAACGGGGAGGCCCACTCATCCTTCTATTAGAGGAAACATATACACATGACAGACAGTACAGTCTAGAGAGAAATACAATTTCTGTGTTTAATATCATTAAATGCAAAAGAGAAAAGAATACAAGAAGGAGGTAATAGTTTTGGCTCACCAATGCACGCATACCTACGCTCTTTCCTTGCCTGTGTACCTACACAACTGGTGAAAGCATTCGTCATTAAACGGTTGCATATTTACTGTCTGGTCCGGACTGTGTGGCCCCTGCAGAGACAGGGAGGCGCTCCTGGGGCGGGTGGGTGGGTGGGTTGTAGGTCGGGGGGGTACGACCACGGCATTCCTCTTTATAACTGATCTCTGCACTGCTTTATTTGTTTTTGTTTTTCCTTGTCTTTACAGTAGGCCAGTCCCCTTTGAGACAAAGTGAAGAAACGGGCAACGGGCAGCGTCTCTGTGCTGGACGAGGCCCCGCCCACCTACAGGCCGGGCGAGGTGAGCCGAGGGGCAGCTGGCCAGCTCGGGGCAGAGCTAGTTCAGAGGGCCGCCCAGTCGGGGTTCGACAAAAAAAAAAAGTGATGAAAATAAATAAATAAAGAAACACAGGTCTGTACAAATGGAACATCAACAGTGCAGCCGCCCTATAGGAGAAGCAGGTTATGAGTACAGAGACAGGACATTCGTTTGACAGTTAAAGAGCCGTTCAGTCCAACGGGGGCCGAGCCCGCGGGCGGCCGGCCGGTTCTGACCGGACCCGGGGAACGCCACGGCGGGCCCGGCTGGAACTCTGAACCGGTTCTGAACCCGGGGGGCCACAGCGGCGCCGGTAGACCGCCTTGTGCGTGCGCTCTGTGTGGTTTATGGGGAACGGGGGGGAAGGGGAGCTGCCAAATGGGGGGGGGCAGTGGAGCAGCAGAGGGGGGGGCAGCTCAGTGCTAATCTCATGTCCCTGCTTCTAACGCTGGCCACAAAGAGCCAGCTCCCAGCCCCTTTGGGCTGACCTTAGAGGCTGACCAGAACCCCTACAGGCAGCATTCAGATACACAGCTCAGAGTTGGGGAGCAGTGGGGGGGGCATCAGACGTGGGTCTGAGCACAAACGTGGCTCTATGCTGCTCCACTGCTGGGCCAAAGAACCCGTCTTAGCTACAACCCCTCCAGGACCTGACACCATGAGACGTTTGGGTCCTCTAAAAGCCCCCGGTGCTAGAAATGCAATCTCTTCAGACTAATGGAGGCGCTTCCAATTATGAAATGACAAAACTTAGTGGGGAATAGGTTTATTCTTAGCGGGACACTTTCCACTGGAGGGCCGTGGCGGCCCGTGTCTGCTGGTACAGAGGCAGCAGAGGCAGGTGCAGTGGGGGGGACAGAGGGGGTCTGCGTTCCAAACGACCGAGCGTTACCTCTCTGGCTTTCTGCGCCGCCAGCTCGGCCTGCCGCTGGCGCTCCAGCTCCTCCAGCAGCTGCCGCTCCATGATGCGCTTGGCCTCCTCCACGCGCCGCAGCACCTCCCGCTCGATCTCGTCCTTCCGCTTCTCCAGCTCCTCCTCCACCCGCTTGGCCACCAGCTCCTCCACGCGCCGCGCGGTCTCCTCCTCGATCAGCTTCTCCTCAATCTCCTGCTGCCGGCTGCACAGAGGCGGGCGGGGGGGGGGGGGTTAGCACCCCAGTGCTATCACTGACAGGGCCTCTCAGCACCACCACAAACAAAAGCAGGAACTTATCATCACATCCCTTTTTCTTTAAAAAGAAACATACTACCTAGATAAGGCTCAGAAAATACCAAACACGGCACGTTCATGAGAACTCTCATGTAGGTTTAAGTTTGGAAACAGGGCAACATGAACTAAAAATAAAGCCAGGTTCTCAGCGATTTGTCTGTCACACAACTTGAGTTGTTTATTTGCATCATGTGACGGGTTCTCCGCTTTTCCCCAGAGAGGACGACAGCTTTCATCGGTGGGACGCCACAAAAAAACAAGGAGATCTGCTGATAACACGTCCCAACGTTTAGAAGGGAAGAAGTGAGAAGCAGACCAGAGCACAACGCGGCTGTGGGGGGGCGATGAGCACTAGAATTAAATGATGATGCATTTGCTTTCACTGAGCAGCACGGTGCTTAAAATCCAATCTGATCCCAAGAAAATGGGAACTGAAGCATGTTACCGCCTCGTGTTCCTGCCCTCTCCCTTGTGCTGAACACGGGGGGGCACCCACAGGGCCAGCTCTGCTGTCTTCAGTAGTTTCTGGCACATTGGTGCTTACTGTCTGAGTTTACAGCATGAGGGCAGCAGGACTACCTCTCTGTCCTTTCCCCCGACATGATGGAGGATGGGAGAAACTAACAAAGGCTGGTGTTGATGTGTTGACATCCCTGCTTGTGTACGCAGACCCACCGCCCGTCCCAGTTCTACTCCCTTCTGTGAGCTTTCCTCACAGACCTGTCCACATCTGATAAAGCCTGATAAGTAGAGCAGATAAGAAGTAAAACACGGAGAAAAGGTTGTTTTTCTGTCAGCGCTAGCTTATAAGGACTGTCCTAAGGCTGGGCCATTTTTCGATTTTATTCGCGATGTAAAATTTCTCTACGATTATATTATTATTATCATATAGAAATAAGACGTTCAATAAGCCAACGCCTTTTAAAAAAAGATAAAAGTTTTCAAAGAAAAACCCAATCACATCTAAGCTAGCAGCGGCACAAAGCCGTGACGAAGTTTGGAGCAAAGCCTTTGTCCAGCCAAACCGCAAAACCCTCTAAGACTTTACAAATGAGCCAGATATCTGTGAGGGGAGCTCTGAACAGGAATCAAGTGGAAATGCTGCCCAGGAGAAGGACCACATTGTAGAAAGGAGGGAAAATAAAAACATTGGAAAAAAGTGATTTTGTTCACATCGTGATATAAAATCGAAAACGAACATTTTTGGGAAATATAACTTTTTCTCATATCGCCCAGCCCTAGACTCCCCTTTGTCACAAGATTACTTTTTCACCTGATTTGTCAATAAATAAGTGACAATTTTATGTTTATTTACACTGTTCCTGATGTAGTACTCTTACGGCTAATTCATATCCCATTTCCATGGACGTGCTATAAGAGAATGAACTGTCCTCATTTTTGACCACATCTATCAGAGCATGTGCATGGACGGCTTCATCTCCGTCAGTGTGTGTTTGGTGCCACTTTATTCATGCCGTGTTGAGCAGATCTCAGTTCACTACAAGATTTTCTGCCTGATTATCCCGTCAGGGACAGATGCGTCGGATCAGACCTTAATCTGCAGTTTGATCGGAAGTCAGCGCTTGATTTGAGTGAAAGAAATTAAAATATCGTCAGGAGTCTCACGTAGACTGATGAGCGACGAGGGAAGAAGAGATAAAGTCAGGAATGTATGAACAAACAGGATGGAGGAACTAGAGACTGAACAGAATTTGGTCAACAGATCAGCGAACCTGCCTCTGCTCTATCAGTGATGAGGGACATGTGTCTGCTTAAGCAGAACCCCTGAATAATCAGAAGTCTGGGGAAGGTCTGCCGTCCCAGGACTTAAAACTCCTGAAGAGAGACGCAGCATGTGGTAAAACCACGGGGAGAAGCAACCCCTGTGCCGAGCACTCTCACCCCCAAAGCTCCCACTGCCCTTTCTCATTAAAAAAAATCATAACTACGGTGCATAACGCCTGGTTCATTTCTGAGTGGCTCATCACTAGAGGCCGTTAGCTTCAGCACCAAACAGTAAAAAAGGTCAGTCGGAACAAGCCCCCATATTCAAACGAAAAGGAGAGGTGTCCAGCATGCAGGGAAGGAACCAGGGGGAGAAAACGGAGGAGGAAACTTAAGCCATTTCTTCCTGTGATCCTCATGGGACATCACTGGCCGATAAAAATGGACAAACCAGAACACCCATCAAGGTTAAATATCTCAAATCTGAGTCCTATGTTTGGTCCAGTTCCTTAGATTACACTAATCGGACATAACCAAGTAGATTTAGAGCTATATTTACTAAATGGCATAGTGTGCTGTGGATTTAATACTTCACTATATTATAATGATAATATCCTATAACAATGAAATTCTAAATGGCTTTTCTAAATAGCTATGAACAGGTATGCTTCAAATTGCTTTTGAGATGTAAAAGTGTGAAAAGATATGACTCAATAGAGTTATTATAAAGTCAGAATAAAGAAAGATGTCTTACAGCTTGAATCCAGGTACAGCTAGAGTGTCATCAAGCTGGGACGCACTTAGATGTTAAAACAAACAAATGTGTTGTCAGTTACACAATCACTACAGACTAATAACCATTAGAAACCATAAAATCCAAGTTTTTTTTCTCGGACAACGCAATGTTGATGAAGTTAGTTTAAGCTCAGCTATTCAATATTAAAATACAGACTAAAGGACACTTGCTGGAAAACGGTAAACTCTGTCAATACTTAGTTAATTTCACGCTGAACGGACAACAAGCTCGTGATATCACGAGCTTGTAATCCCATAACGACATTAAAGAATGTCTTAAACAACATTAGATTGGCAATACTTTTAAAGATCCACTTCAAATGAGTTGTAGTTAAGGTGGTGCAGTGGATAGAGTGGTCCTACCACTGCGATGAGGCTGAAGTCTGGGCCCTGAGCAGCCTGCCAGCGGGTTAGCATTAGCTTCCAGCACATTGGGATGAATGCCCCGGCCTAGCTAGCTTTAGCACTGCTAGCTCTGTCGTTAGCCGCATTATGCACGTTCACAAGCACATCTCTCAACAAATATACTCACATTTTCCTTTGCCTCTCCATTTCCGCCTTTCGCTCCTCTTCTTCTTTTCTCTGTTTCTCGTCTAGAGCATTTCGCTTACTTAGCGTCCGGCCGAAAATGTCGATGCGCTCCGGCGGAGACGCTGCTCTCTCTCTGCGGGACGATGCTGTGGTTGACCGGGAACGAGAGCGCGACTCCCTACGCCGATTCCGCTTAGATTCCCGGGACTTGGACCGCTTCTTGGATCTCTCCCTGTCCCTAGATCGCGACCTAGATCGGCTACGTTTCTTGCTATGCTTGCTGCTTTTGGAGTGTTTGGACCTAGACGAGCTTCGACTTCGTGAGCGGCCCATGTTGACTACTTCAACTCAAGCTTATCCCAAACTCCTCTAACTTATGGCTAAAAAACTAAACGATATCAGACACTCCGCCCCTAAGGCGCCTTTTTAAACTTGCCAATTACACAAGCAATCAAAATTATCTGCTTAAACACCTCTGTTTTGGAGAAATAAACATTCGAAATTGATTCTTATTTGCCTTACCAAGTCGTTACAAAGAAAGATGGCGACGAGTTGGGTTTGTTGTTTCCCAGCAAGCATTGCGGTTCTCGGCATTTTCCGTCAGGATTCTTCGGCCATTCGGTTGAACCCAGAATGGTGTCCACACACATCCAATGTAAATGGATGAATCCATATTTACTAAGCTTATGATTTTCATGTTTGCTTCTGCTACGTGGCTAAAATGGCAAAAATTACGTTTACATAATTCAGTTTAAGAGCTTATCTTCCTTCCTCCCTAATGCTTCCTCCGAACTACGTTCAATGCACATATTTAAACGTGTGGTGTTCAATCTTAATCTATTCCCTTAGATGCTTTTACCCAAGGGATTTGCAAGAGATGTTAGAATACTGCATTAACAAAGCTCTTTTTTTATTTTGCAATAGTTTAAGATTTTGTTTCCAGTTGGCATTCATTGAACTTTATAATTTTTCAACTTTTTTCATGGTATCAGGGGAAAGACAAACGTTTTAACATGAGCTTTAAATAAATGATCCTGAAAAAAGAAATACTAGATGAAAAAGGCTGCAGCTAATAATGTTAACAACATCGTGTTATTCACATTATAGAAATAAGATAGATAGTTTTTTTTTCTTTTTGCAAATGTATTATTGGTTCTTGAGATTTAAATTTATCAAATTATTTTTCTATACATTTATTCGGTGTCGAAACTTTGTTCCAAGACGCGAAACCAAAGGACAACTGATGCCAGTCTCGGTGATGGTACGTGCAATAGTATTTGAGACCCTTGGACTAAAAACAGGTGTCTTGGATCAATGATGTCATGGGTTTCAAAGCAGGACTCGCAATATTATCTGCTATCAAGCAGAATAAAAAAAAAACGAAATGAATCTTGCTCTCATCCAATGTACTTTTAACTAAACATTTTCAACAAAAACTACATTTCCATCAATATCATGATGGATAAACGGTTGTCAGTTCACATTTACGAATTCACCTGTTCAGAAAGTGCCGGTTAAATATGGACATCCTCAGGTTTCCCTTTACCCCAACTATAGTGTAACGACATCAGAGGATCTTTCTGCTCTTCGAGCACGGCCTAATCAAAAGGACCATCTCTCGTAATTTGTGGGAAGAGTCGGCCCTCTCTTTGACATGCGCCGTTCAGGTTCATTGCCCGTGCCCCTTGGTTGCACTTCAGGGGGGAAAACACTTTACAAACACAGGATGTCTTTTAGAAGCTCTGCAGCATTGCCACATTGTCATGTTGATGCCCCGAGGGTCTGGTATAAAGAGTCACTGACAAGGAAAACTTGGAGGCACGCTTCCCCTCCTCCCTCCAAAGCCCTCAATAAGAACAATCCTCTCACCCTGGGCCAAATTTGGGATAGGTGAGGACCACAGGGATACAAAAGAGGATGATCGTGGAGATAGAGATTTTAGGAGAGGAAAGGGAGTAAGCAGTTTGAGAAGGTAATTGAGTATTTCCTGAACTGACAACCCATACCTAGAAACACACATCCATGTGTGTGTACTCATGAGACTTTAGAATAAGCTTTACATGTCTACCAATTCCAGCGGATATCTGTGGATAAATGCATCACAGACACAGAAAATAAAAACTTTGGCTTGAATGTTGACAGTGTGACATAAAGCCCTCCAATGTCCACGTCTTATTAAGATGTGAAATAAAAGCCGTGCAAGGGCTGATGAGTGTGTCTGATCACATATTGGGTGAAATATGTCAGTCAGCAAAATAAAACTGAACATTTCAACAGGGAAAAAGCAACTTTATTCAAAATCTTAACTCTTACCTCTTCGCTCTCACTCTCTTTGCTGTCACTATTGATTCTGACTGGGAATTTTCTCTAGAGGGCTTATTGTCATATTGATGATAACTGTAAAATCGTGTCTTCTTTGTAAGTCGCTTTGTATATGGATCGGAGAGATGGATTGATGGATCTTTCACCACGCCTGTGAGTTCCCAGGGTAAGGAAGACGATTAGGGCCACTGAAGAATAAAAACAAGATAATACAACCAAACTCTGACTTTAATCTCAGAAATCTGACAATTTTCCAGAACATTAGAAAAAGCTACTGTTATCTTTTTTTATTTCAGAGAAAAAAATCTATATTCTGTGAAAAAAATCAGAATTCAGATTTTGTTTCCCAACACACACAATTTTGCCGCTTTCTCAGATTTTTTTTTTCTCCCACTGGCCATAATCGTCTTCTGGATGAGGGAGACCCATAGAAATCTGACCTTATCTATACATTGATTTACTTTAACTCTGGTGAATCACAGTCCAGTTGAGACAGGCCCTCATGAACATCTGGTTAATACAAGGCTAAATTCCAGCATACAAAGACAGAGAAAGAACATAGCAGCCATAATAAGCATAATCCATTAGTCTGATCAACTGACAATTGGGTCTGACCAGGCTTTAGATTCAAGCTTATCCATCATTGAAGGGTGCCGAGCAACAGACGGAGGGCAGAAGCCAAACCAAGATTTCTGTAAAGTTAACTGACGTTAAGTTTTTTATTTTTGATAAATATGGGAAAAAAAGACATTATCTGAGCTGAAATATTTCCAACTTCAATATAAACACTCATATTATATCATTATCCTACAGCTTAACATTCTCCGGTCTTTGAGTTATTCCCTTTTCAGCTTTCTCTTATCACACTGCTGCTTTTCTGTCTCCCTAACAACCTCCACAGAGCAGATGTTCTCCTCTGACCATTATTCAAAAAAGACCATTCCCATCATTTACTCCATTCACATTCATTAACCCTTAACAGGACTCTCCATTAATTACACCTTTTGACTGAAGGCTTTCTCCGTGCAGCTTGTTTTGGTCAGAGTTGGTGATGATTGCATGACCATTTCAGATCCCCTCATTCTAAAGAAACGTCATTGTTAAATATGATCTCTGGGACAAAAGACTTAGCCAGTAACTAACAGAAATGGAAGGGGATCTCTGGGATACTGCACAAGGATGAGAGAAAAGCTAATCACGCATCTTAAATGAAGATAATGGCCAGAACAAGCAGATTAGATTACCCACCTGTTAATACTTCAAACCTGACCCCTGATCTCTCCATTTGGCCTGTCAGAGCC